TCTCCCTGAGATCACCCCCAGGCAAAATGAGCGGGAGTTCAGATTTGGTTACTTGAAGATAGCACAATACAAAACTGTAAATTTCCACTTGTAACTATTCAATGCAGCCTTTGATTGTTATTTGTCCCCATTTACCTCCTGTCACTGCTCTGTGGCCAACAAAGGGGAAAAAAAGGTGCTTTAACTGGCTTACAGTTCAAACTTTTAAAGACAATAAATAGTGTATGTAGTGCTTTAAGTCTGTTTAAATGGTCACTGGAAGAAAACTTGAATCCTTGAAAAATCAGCAAACATTCAGTACAAAACAGTAATCAAATACAGCCATGATGAACTTTTTGAGAAAGTATTGTGTGCATTTTATTGAATGTTATGTCTCTGCATTATACATTTGAACAACCTTGAAATAGTATAAATAGGTCTACAGCATTGTAAAAGATGGAGATTTTAGTCGGGTTTAGAGGACGACTTTAAGAAGCACAGGGGGAGAAATGCAAGATTATTAGTTTCATCTTAATATCAAAGAACCCTTTTTACTCAGTATTGCACATATATTTTAAATGTTACCAGAGTATAGTGACAAAGAATCTAGGTAAATCTCATTTTATGAACAGCACACCCACTCACTCACAACTTTGTCTCAGACAGCACAACCCTGTTTTATTTTTTTTTTAAACTAAACCCCACGAAACCCTGAAATACACACAGCCTATAGAGTATTGTAATGAACAGACTCTAGTCTTTAAAATATGTGCTTGTTTCATAAAATATTTGTTCTAATATTTGTACTGACACTTTTTGCTACATCATACCTCTTGTGGTAAGAGCATAGCCCCTGCCCCTCACCCCTTTACCCAGTTTTATGCCCAGCTGAGTGGAACAAAGCAGAGATGCTAATGAGCTTGTTTTTCTTTTCTTTTCTTTTTTTTTTTTGCAAGCAGGCCTTCAGAGTACTGTATGGGAGAAGATTCACTGGTGTCCCAGCTGAGGTAAACTCTTTGTCTCTTGTCCACACCACCAATCAAACTTATTTTTCAGTGTAGGAATACCACTAAAACTGGCAAATACATACAATAACCTTCACTGTTAGGGAAACTGAATATAAAGTTAAATGGACTTCTAAAGAAAGAAGTGAAAAATGTGCAACCTATCACATGGTATAATTTCGATCACTGCCACACTGTAAATTTCTCTTCCTGCTTTTTCACATTTACGGCAGCTTAAATATTCCATTTACTTTACCACTGAGATTGCGGGAGCCACATTAAAGAGTGCAACTGGATAAAATTGTCAAAAAAACAAATCTCAGAGTTTAACTTTCCTCAAGCACAGACTGCTGCTCAAGCACATGCTTTTAGTATGACACTTTAAAAGCTGAAAACCATCAAACCCATATGCATGGGAACCATTATCACCCCCAAATCAATGGTTTTATGGTGACGCTCCCCCCCGCAGTGCAGCTGTGTGGATGGTGGATAACCCTAGCCAGGAAATAGACCTAGGTGTGTCCCAGTGATATGTGTGTGTATTGGAGAAAAGCCTTGTTTAAATGTGTGAGACTGGTTTTCTCTTCCGACTCCTTAAGTATGTCACTGACATCTCTTGGCATTTACACATCCAAGCGTCAGCAGGCTGGGAAAGTGTTGACTTTAAGTTTGTGATGGTTGGATCATAGAACAGCTTCCTCTGTGTTTCTGCCTTCCTTTCGTCAGCACATTTGAGATGCCACACTGTTTTTGATCCGCATTCAAATCAGGCTGAACCTGGAGTTTTGTGCGTGGAAGGTTGACAGCAAGGTTTGGGTCTTAAATAAAAAAAAAAAAAGAAAGCAATTTAGGGAAAATTATGAAAAGAAAATGACATGATATGAAATTGCGTAACATATTAAAATATTCCAAAAGATGGCAATGGGTGCATATGGAGAAGAAACTATAGTTTAGACGTTGATATATATATCGACTACAAGCAGTAGAGTACTACTACAAAGTAGTAGTAATCAGATATGCTTATTTCAGGAAAGCAACTCGTCAGACACAACTTTTTCCTGGCAGTCAGAAATCAAATCAAGCCAATGCCTTGTCTGTGTCAGACAAAAGGCCTTCAGGTGCTAACGATGCTATCCACCCCAGTCAAATGGAAAGGAGGTATTGATAGCAGCGGGGGTAACAGGCTATTGACACCCCTGAGCCATTTTCCTTGCTGAGAGTCCTCCCCAGCAGGCAAACACAACAGGCAAACAATGGCCGGCCATCAAGGGAAAGCTCTCGCCAAGTCAGAGTAAGAAGAATGGTGGTTATTGGGCTTTTCCAATTCAAAGCCAGAGGCTTCACTTTTGGGTCACAGTGGGTGAGAAATTGCACTGCAGCAGCCAAAGCAATGGAGTGACATTGCAACAAATTTAGCATAACTAAATTACGACAGGAAAGTTGGGGTTTGTTTGCTTACCATTTGGGAGAAACCAAATGTGAGTGGAAGACAAACAACAGTGGTTGATCTCAGGCAGGTCAGATTTGCCTTTACGGTTGGATGTATGCTTCTTGTGTAAAGTTTAAAGTGAGTTTATCACTGAGAGGCCTCGCTTCAGGCTTCTTTGTTTTATAAAGTGGACTTAGATAAATATGAGCAATTAACACAACGTGACCCGTTAATGCAAAAGAAGGCGGGGATGAATGTTCTCTGAGAATGAATGCCTTTTCATTGTATGCATACAGTATAAACAAACTGACTGAAAATTAACCACTGTTGCCCTCCAGAGGTCAGAAATGAAATTTTTCATGATGGGAGTTTCTCAGCCAGCAGGGGGAGGGTCCCATTGCTAAATCCTCTAAAGCAAATACTCAGTGTTGTTGAGGTGATGTGAAGTTCTGCTTAAGCTTCTGGGCATGTGCATATCAAAATGCTAAATCTGTAATACATATGTTGCTGTGGCTACAGTCCACTTTAACTATTTTCACAGTCGACTGTTGAGCTCCCTGCTACTGACATTTAAATACATGAGATGAATTTGAAACAGCGAATTCATCTTTGGCTTATGCAGTCTTCAATGAAAAAAAAGGAAGGAAAAAAAAAGCAAGCAGGATTGAATAAATGATGAAAACACAATGACTAAAGTATGTAATGCTTTAATTAGAAAAATTTGTTTTGAGTAAAAAAAGTGCAGATACTTTGTGTGCTGTTCAGTGGGGGAAACAATGACGGTAACAAAGGACTCAGATTGATTTTGTCGAGTGACGGGAAGCAAAATAAATCAAAATGCTTTTGGAAACATTAACCTGCATACTCAGCCTGCTGCATGACTTTGATAAAAGCCCTAGATTCATTTGAGATGTACGAGTTGAATGCTAAGTGAGGCTAATAAAAGCACTTAAAGAAGTATTAAATAGATGGAACAAAAATCCTGCAATACTAACGCATCTGCAGTTATAGCACAAATATGAAAACCAAAAGGTAATGATGGAGAGAAAAAGAAAAGGATGGAGTTTAAAGTTTCCCCTACAAAGAAAAAAAAACATCATGGTCACTGTCATTCCTGAAATTAGAAATCCTCATGCTCGGTCTTGGGTAATATTGGGATGTGCTTTCATTCAAAAGCTTTAAGAAACTCAGCTTTACAGATTCTCATCAGTGTTTAAAATATTTGACACAAAACATTCTGAAAGACACACACAAAGAGTTAATTGCTAGGAACTATATAAATACCCCATTCAAACCTGACTTTCAGTTTCATCATACCAAAAATATTCAGAGTAACCTGATCTAAATGGATTTTTATATAAATCAAAGGATGATTAAAGTAAACAAATACAAGGAAGACATACATAGGTGAGTTTGTAGTGTGTGTGATGGCCACAAGGTGGTGTTGTGCAAAGCTACAAGATGGCCAATGATCTGGGAAGAGAGCAGGACGATGGGAGACAGTAAAGCATTAATGCTTGCCTTCTGTCCACTTAATAGATCTTATAGCCAAGATACAGGAACTTTTAAAACAGTCTTCATATAGATTCTTTAGGATATAATTGTCATAATAACAATACCTTCATTAACAATTTTTATGATATCAAGAATAGTAACAAGAAGTGACAACGTTCATCAGCTGAGGTTTTCAATGGCAGCCTCAAATGAGAAGTCTCCTGCTTCATAGTCTGTTGGGTCCACAAAAAAAACAAAAAAAAAATCAGTGTTTCAGTTCATTAAATATTATTCGATGCCACCAGGACCAGCCTATAATCGTATGAATGTGTCAAAAACCCCAAACCCCACTCTCAGGGAATCTCTCCATCCCCCATCTCCATCCGTCTGTGCTCAAAGTAGCTCATTTGCATTGCAAAAAAAAAAAAAAATCCTCTCCTTCATCCAGGTGTTTCAGCGACACTTATCTGTCCTTTGATCCGACCTTACAGCCTTCTCGCTCATCGTTTCTCTCAGAGACGAGTCTGGGCCTCGGGGACATAAATTTCGATGCTGTCTGCGCTCTCTGTGGCGGAGTTCTGGCGAAACGAGGCAGCTTTCTTAGCAGCCAGCAGTCGCTTGCGAGCCTCTTGTCTCTGCTTCTCTGCCGAGGCCGAAGAAGAGGTGGAAGAAGAGTCGGCGCTCTTCTCGCGGCCCAGCAATGGTCGTCCCTTACCAGGTTTCTTTGACACTGGAGGGGTCGCCTTCTCCTCCTCCTGCTGTGTTGGAGTGATAGCACATGACAGGGGGGGGAGAGCAATGTGTGAATGGAGGAGAAGGGAGAAAAGACACCACACAGTGAGAGAATGTAATAAGGAAACTGTCCTCAACTGGTTTTATCTGTTCACACGGTTTGGCAGACAGGACTTTGACAGGACATTATGCCAAAGCTGATCATTTTCATTAAAGCTTGAAGTAACATTTGGTGATTTCGGATGACAAACACAAAAAACACTGACAGTATAGACAACAGGTAAAAACAGGTAAACATTGAGAAAAACAGTCATTTGAATGACACCTTTCAAAGACATGGAATGGTAACATGAATTGATGGGCACATTGGTTTAAAATGAAATCACGATAAAAGGATCACAAGACACACAGTCAAAGCATTTACACTGAAAAGCAACATAAAGCAAGAGCATCTAAGCAACAGTTTAAAGATCCAGTAAGTTGAAAACTCATGCACGGAAACATACACCGCAGACTCCACAAAGGGTTACTTATTGCCAATCAACACAGGACACACAAACACAAATGTAGACATTTAAAGAGCAAAAGCAAGACTGCATTCTGTCACATGAGTCAGTGCATCTTCGCCATGCTCCACTGTAACACACAGATCAGAAAATGATGCATGCATGCTCAAAGCAGGGCTTGACACTGAAAAGCACACCAACGACAGCCCTCTTTGAGATGATTTTTTTCCCATGCATGCCTAGAGGGATCTCTCTGGCCCCTTTACATTGGACAGGAGGGCCCTGTTAGAGTTCATCCCACGCAGGGACGGGGGTAAAAAATAGTGGGAGAAATGGTGGTGGTGGTGGGAGGAGAGAGGCCGGTTTCGGCGGCTTTCCTACCCCAGCCAGGGCACTGGGCAGCAGGGGTGGGAAGTACCTTCCGCTCAGGGGGCGACTGGGCAGCCGCAGATGGAACGGGCTGCCAGTCATTGGACTTGAGATGGTAGAGCTCATCGAACTTGAGGCTGATGTCCTCGATGGAGAGCTGCAGCAGGTCCCAAAAGCCAGCCAGGTCCTGGGCTGTGGGCCGTGGGTTGGCATTCACATTCTGACCAGAGGAGGAACAAGGTGATGAAAATGAATGAACACATATGAGGAGAATGTAGTGAATGGTACTGTGAGGAATGTATGACACATATTAGAAAGTAAACAGCATCACAAGTTACAAAAGTGGAGTAGTTTATTTGTCACACCTGAACTAAAGTGATTTCCAAAAGCCTGCACAGGGTGCAAACCGATGTTATGCATTTGAAAGTTAAATGAGTTGCCGGGTCAGTTGCCGGACATGGGGTAATTTCTTCTATTCATATCTACTCTGCTACTCAAACCTCAGCAGCTGAGGAAGTTGCCGTATTGTAGTTGTACCTCAGCTGGAGGCAGCACAGGAGGAGAAGCAAACCTCTGGTTAAAAGTGACATGTGACCTGCAGGAGCTCCTGGATGCTCGATTACAATGTATGCAGTACCTACCTTAGACTAGTCTGAGTTATATTTTGATAAAAATAGTCTACAAAAGGGCAGAGAATTGTGTTTCTTGCATATAAAAAAGTTGCCTTAGCCTCACTTGTGTTTTGCAAAAAATACAGCACAATAATGGTTGTCACGGTTGGAAGGGAGACTTTAAAATTCATCCGACTTTAAAAATCATTCCGATACAATCCCCTGTTAAATAAATATCGTCACTAACCTAATCCAAGTATCCCAGTAATAAAGTAATATAACTTGAATACTTTCCGTCACTGATGGATTACCCCAATACCAAATATTTAAGGACAGACAAGAGAAAAGACAAAAATATGACGACTTTCACTTGAGTTTGTTTTGTCATGTGTGAAAGTGTATGGCAGTGTTGGAGTTAGATTCGGAGAAGGTAACAGGAGGAGGGCGTCGTTGAGGATAAATAAATAGGAGGCTATGAAATTATTTTACTTATTTCTAATTTTAAGTTCAATTTAATAGAAACTTGAATGAATTGACCCTTTAAATAAGCCAGCAGAAGAGATACTACTGTGTGTTTGAGGGGATCAAATTCACCCATGAAGACCCAGAATACAATAATACCAGTATCAGCAATAATCAGCCTAAATCTGTTGACCGTGTGGCTGATGACATCGTCATTTCTACTTTTGGCTACCCGTTTCTATTTTGGTGGTTACTTTAATAATTAGATAGGTCACGTTTAACACAGGAGGCATCTATATTCACATTTATGTCACTACTGCAAACATCCTATTGTGCACCTGTGAAACTGAAAACGTTCTGCAATAAAACACTGGACACAACAATTTCCCTGAGGTACCTAACCAAAGGGATCAACAAAGTTCTATCTGAATCTGAATCTGAAAAACAGTCAGCATGGTAGTATATGTTTTTTTTTTTTTAAAGCCTATTTGAAAAGTAATCCTGCTAATAATCCTGATTTTTACAAAATGTAGTGCTAATTTGATTTAATTTTAATTTGTAACTTTAAACAAATTCAGTTACCTTTTTTGGTATCTTAATTACAAAACACTGTGATCCTGGTTCTGGTGTGTTACCACCTACAGTCATCCTCAAATTTATTCATACCCTCCCATTAAAGAAGGAAAAAAAAGTGGTGTCACTGAAATAAGTTGAAATTGACAAAAGCAATAAATAAAAATCTTATGAAAATCATGACATTGCTTTTGAATTGTGGTTCAACAGAAATATAAAAACAACAACCAAGCAAACAAGCATGATGGGACCCCTAAACTAATATTTTGTTGAACAACCCTTTGATCCAATCACTGCAATCAAGTGTTTTCTGTAACTCTCAATCAGACTTCTGTACCTGTTGACAGGTATTCTGATTCTTGCCCACTGCTCATCAGCAAAGTGCTCTAATTTGTCCGGGACAGTTTTGTTTGTTTTTTGAAATTATTCTTTTCAACCACAATTCAAAAACAATGTCTTATTTCATTAAATTATAATTTAATACATTTTTATTTATTATTACTTTTTTTTTTTATTTTCTAGTTATTTGAGTGACTATTGTGAATTTTGCCTTTTCTTTAATGGAAGGGTATGAATACATTTGATGACGACTGTACTAGCAGCATGTGCTCTCCTTCTTTCATATTGAGCACTAGAGGGAGCTGTGCAACAGCGTAATTCTTTGGTCGTGCTGAACATCACACAAAAAACACACACATACACAGATAAAGCCACACACAAAAGATTCCAGCAGGGTTTGGTTATTTTTCTGCTTCAACAACTTAAACATACCTGTTCTCCACCAAGCTGAAAAAGTCAGTACGCTGAACCAGAGGACTACAAGTTTTGACATGAACAAAAAAAACCCCCCACAATCATTCCCTCCCTCATTTACACACCACACCTGCCTCTGTCTTGGTTGTATCTGCAAAGCCTGCAAATATTGCCAGAGAGATAAAAAGCAAATCCTCCTCCGACATCTTTAATTCTGACACAGCCTGTTTGTAATATTCAGAGCGGAACATATTTCGTGCCGTTTGCATTTTGTTCACCACATTCAAGTAGCTGTTCTAACTGCTATGATCTGTGTCCAGATATTTTGGAAAAATTACACAAGTGTGCAATGTTTATTATTACTTATTAAGCTACTTGTCATGTGCTGGAAGTTGGCTGCAATTTGTATAATTTTAACGGAAGCACGTCACCCTGTGAGGAAGGGCTTATTGGCTTATTATAAGCTTCTTGTATTTTGTGCTGGTAGGTCCCCATGACTTATTCTGTGTAGGCCTAAGGTGCTGTGTATCATGGCTGTTCACCGATTAATCAGTTCTTATTTCTGTGAGAGCCTTTATGACCATTACAGCAAGCAGTTCTTGCACTGAATGGAATATCCAAACTATAATGCTGGGTTTGATTTGGTCGTGATATTGAGACACCAACTGGGACTCTTAGTTTCACGTCTGTGCAGCTTGTAGAGTGGCAGCGACACAGAAAGGTGTTATACATACCAAGTTTTGTTCACACAGTCCGCGGAACTGCTGGAACTTCTGAGACATAAGGAGCTGAGCGCTTCCTACTGCACTGCGGACCTTCCCCAGCACTACAGTGAGAGGAACAAAAAAATCAACAACACAGGCATTATTCTTTTCAGGTGCCTCCTGCTATTCGTGGTAGATATTCAGTATTGCACACAGTACAACCTGCCTGTATCACTGGCAGCAGCAAAGTCTCAGAGGGTCAGTGTTCTCTGAGCTGTAAATAACCAAAGAGACCAAAACCTCATTGGCGCCTTGCAGTGCATCACCCAAAAGTCTCCACAGGGTGGCATGAAGGGGATTACAGTGTATTGGACAATGTGATCCTCTTTAAAGGAATCTAAGCTTATATAGATACTCCAGCCTCCTGTCTGTCACTTGTCTGTTGCTGTATCAAAATTAGGACAAACATCTGTCCTGACAAAAGTGGGACTCCTATCTGATCACTGGATTTCAGAGTTATGGGAATGTGATTATAGTGTGGTGAGACCCGGCTCTGGACCTCAGATTTGCATCAGATTGACTTGGCTGACTGCTTCACAGTTAAAGGTCACATCCATGCAACTTCAAAAGGCCTTTCTGGGAACACAAACGGAGACTGTACATCTATACAGAAATCGATCAAGCCTTTCTGATAAAAACTGAGCATCCAAAGCCTTTGCACAGTGTGTGTTTGCGTGTGTGCTCACTGCTGCATGCCTCATGACGATGTTAAGGCACTAATCTAATCTGGAGGTTTAATCAGTTCCAGACTAGATTTGTGTAATTCTACAGATTACAGGCCTGCTTGTGTGTGGTAACCCCAGGTATTACTGCCTCATCCCCTCCATGCTGTGTATGTCTGACAGAGTGATTGTAGGGCCTGAGGCAGAGTCCTATAACTGAGCTCTGCACCACGTGCTGAAGTCAGACACCAGCAAAACTCTGAGAGGGTTCAAGATGTTGGGTTCACTGAGAGGGCCTGCACATGTTTTACTATAGCAATGATTTGACAGTAAATCTGGCTTTGTTGTGCTGTTTCTGGACCAAATATTTCAATATGTAGCTTGAATCATTGGAAGTCCAAGTTATGGGCACTAGTTTTTATCATTTTAATTCTGTTTCTGAGAAATCATGTTTTATCAGTCTTTTTTTTTACAGTGGACAGGTCAAACTACTGTAATACCGCTGAGCGTTGAGTGTCACAAAGAAGAAAACAGTCAGAGCCCCATGAAGCAGAATTTAAAATACTTCCGGTTGTTAAACCTCTGAACCCAAAAACCCACCGGTGCTTTGAAGGGCATGTTGTTTTTAAACAAACTGCCAAAATTACAGAGCCAGAAACTGTAAAAACAGAAAGAATCGGGACATGTTAAACTTTCCAACGGTCCTTGAACTGCTCATTTGTGACACGTGCATGTCTCATTTAGAAATTCTGGGACTTTTTAGTTCAACTGTAGACTGTGTTTACACAGAGAAGAAAAGAAACAAATATGGCAATAAAATAAAAATGTATGCAATAAATACCTGTAGTATGTAGAGTTACCATTTTTGTGTGTATTGGTGACACACAAATGTTGATGGCAGTTCTTTTTGATTTTTGTAAAAGAAATACCGACTGTGACTGTGTCATACCACACAAAAGATATTTCTCAGCTCTTTCTACTTGTAGTCTTCATTGTGCTGTTTCCACAAAGGTGCAGAACTTCATATTGCAGTGAAAAATTACCCCATAGTGAGTGAAAACACGACTGCTCAGGGTTTATAAAATATGGCATCATACAAGTGCTGAAATCTATCAACACGGACATGGGATTTAAAAGTGAGTTGATTTATATTGTTGTGTTTCTAACTTTCATCTGGCATTAGTGCCTCACATGATACAATTTTAAGATCGGTACCTGAAGTCTGTTACCAAAATGCACTCTGGGAGTTTTAGTTTATATCTACCCTAAAAAATGTAACATACATAAGACCCAGATAACGTATGTTGCAATACAGTTGTTAATAATTTATACCAATGATTGAGGAGAGTTCCATATTGTTTCAAGCTGTAATACACCAACTGTGACTCATGTAACATTTTCTGTGGAAAAAATTGCTGGGCCTGAAATAGCTTCTCCCACTTTGCAACTCGACTATAACTTGCAACCTCCTCCAGCTGGCAGAGAGACAATTTCACATGGAGAGCTACAGCTTCAGTGGCTACTTTGCCATCCTTACCCTCCTCTGAGAGCTGGTTGTCTTTGGTTTCCTGCTCCATCTGCCGGCACCAGCCTTCCATGCGTCCCGTCTCGGCCTGCAGCAGCTTCAGGAACCAGTGGCCGTCTCTCCGACACAGCGTTCCCCCTCCTCCGCTCTGGGGGACGCTGCTGTTACTCCCATTCCCACTGTCCAGCCAGGGGTCTGGAGGCGGTAGAGACGAAGGGTCCAGTGCTGGATCCAGACTTTCTGAGAAAGAGGAAGAGCTGCTTCGCGTGGTGGAGCGGTTGAGGATCTGTCTGGGTGGAGGAGGTGACGAGTTGTCACCAGTGGGGTCTCCGTTGTCTAAAGAGTCTTGTCCTGGAGGGGAGCTCATGGACTGGCTGGCACTATTGACCATGACTTTCTTCTCAAAGGGTTTGGCATTATTGATATGGGAAATGATAGGGAAGTCTTGTGTGTCTGAGTCTGTTTCTTGTTTTGAAGCCATGCTACTGGAGCGACTGAGCCTGAAACAAAACAAGGTGACACTCACGGTTACAAACGGGCCTTTTTAGTGGAACAAGAATTTAAATTTTGGCCACACGCAACATGGAAAAAGAAAACAATAAATTATTCAAGAATCATGTCTCCCTTACTGGAACAAACAGGCCGGCTGAATTTCAACACAGAGTCATTGTTGACTGCTGGTCAATATAGATATAAATAAACAGGATCTATCAGAGACTGGGCTTTGTATACATGATGATAGTGCACCCAGACTGGCACCAACTGATCCGTGAGTGCTGGGAGTCAAGCTTCTTGTTTTCACATGGCAAATGGAAGAACAGGGTAAACATGAATGTTATCTGACTGAACATCACTCAGAAAATGCTCACAAGTGGCAGTTCAGCCAGATAATGAAATATTATGAGTGCATAATCAAAACTTGAGGATGAAAAGAATAGCAGAAGACTGGAAAGGGATGCGGTAAGCCATATTTTGGTAATCCTTGGACCACAACTGACACAGCTGAGAGATAGTCACATGGCTCAAATGTGTGTACAGCATCAATAAAAACTTGGACAGCGTTCTGTGAGAAATGTACACAGAGTATCTCTTGTTCAGCTGCTTATGCAGAGGATATATTTGCCAGGATTCAAAGCAGCAGCTGCTGAGTACAAAACTCAAAATGTAGCATGCAAAACTAAGAAAATACAGGAGGAAGTCATGAGGTGCCCAAGAGCTTCCTGGCATTCAAAACATCACAAGCACAGAATGTAAACTACACTGCAACAAACAAGAAATGGATTTCAAATACACAATAAGCAGAGACATATTTTAAAGCCTCCCTCCAGTCAAAAATGTGTTTGGCTTACGTTGCTTCTTTTTGAGGTTGGATGGTCACTGTACAAAATGATGTATGTTGGCAGAGTTTGACACTTAATGACAGTTTAAAACATGAATCTGTGAGATAACTACTTTAGAAGGCAATCCTGGTTGTATGTGCAACGAAAACAAACGTGATGTAGAAAATTGAAGCCTCCCTATAACCATAAAACCAAAAAACCTTATTTCACACAAACATTATTAAAGCATAATATTTGTATATCTTACAGTCTGGAGGGAATCTTTAAATAGTAAATGCTCATGTCAGGAATGTGCTTCAATATCACAAATACGACACACAAAGACACTGAGGATGTTTTCACATCTACAAAGCTCCAGTAAAGGGAAAGAACAGTCAGAGCAGTGTGTGTGGCTATAATATAAATTCCTCACGTTGTTACAAGGACAGGAAGAGGACTTACTGCCACCCGTCCTCCACCTGTACTCCAATTGACTGAAATTTGGCCAGTGGTGGGGTCTCCTCTCGTGGAACTTCCTGAATACAGTCAACCTTACAAGGAATAAACAGTAACATATAATTAAAAAAAAAAGGTCAGTAGTCAGGTCAACACTGCGTTCATGAATAGTCTTACTGACCCCTTGATCAAAAGCCGCTACATAGCATGAGTACAGTTGTGCAGGGTTTTTACATTTCCAAGTGACAAACCAAAACATCTGCACAAAAACAGGAAAATCCTGAAAATATTTGTATAATTTGGGCTTGGTTTTCAATTAAATGTCACGATTAATGTCTACTTGGACTGAGTTCTGTTAATGTGCAGGATCTGGAAAATTGGTAAAAACTGTAATTTCAGCAGATACACAACAGAAATAGTGGTTTAGAGGGGACCACAAATATGCAGTTTTGCTTTCAGTGCTACAGTATACATCCAGCTCTAATGACAGACAGCCAGCTCTAATGACAGAGCGAGGTTCACTGTAATGACACCTTTAGCTTGCAAGCACACTTTTGGGCTTCATCTTACACACTCATGGATCACAGACAAAATTATATTTTTCCTGGATTCGAGCTCAACAGGCTGAGGGAGTTACACTTCTGACAGCAATGTGACTAATGTGGCATGGCAATGGCTGTTTTACTACGCTTTCATGTGGAGCAAAAACACTGACTGAACTCTACAAGCCCTGGTAGAGCAACTGAGGTACAACAACCCTTGGCCTACCTGTATCCCAATGGAGGACAGTTTCCGTCTGGGTATTGGGGCTACTAGGGGCTCCTCTGCCACTAGATTCCCTTTATTTAATCCTGATTTGACAGATTCATGCTGGACTACTGAGTCACTTGTCTCAGTGGAAGCATTGGCGGTGGCGGGGGTGATTGGCTCTCTTGGGGTAGCGATGGGCGTGGGGATGATGTGCGGAGGGCGGGAAATACCCCGGGCCAGGCTGTTGGCACGGGTACTGTCAAGACTGTCAGAAGAGTTGCTGTGAGCGTGGCTAGACTGGCTGTTGACCTCTGATCTCCTGTCCTGCTGGTCCAAGTAGTTGTCCTGGGCCGACTCTGTGCTGCTCTGTACCGTCACAGAGATGTAGGGCTTGGAGGTTGTACGGGGCGGCACTGGTGGAGGAGCAGCCTTCTTACAGGTGGTTATGCATGTGGAGACTGAAGGAGGAAAGAGAAGACAGTAGAGAAATTAGGAGAAAAGGATTACAAATCAAAACATCGTTTCAGCAAACCTTTGTGTGCTAGTCACGTCGAGGGATTCTTAGCACAAAGTTCTGCTGAAACCTCCTCGAAGCATCACCCATTTGCTTATCAGCATCATTCTAAGAACTGACTAACAAGATTTCTCAGCAGGCCCAAAGCAGAACTTTTCCACCGCACAGAAATACACTGAGACACTGTTGTATGAAAGCTGGGAACACCAGCACCATCTCGTACAGCAGAAAATCAAATCAAGCGGAAGCTGAACAAACACACTGCTCCACACAGGTGAGTAAATGAAATCACACACAACACACTTCAAAGCCTCAATCACAAGACAGGTGATGAAAACAGTAAAGGAATTTGCCAACCATCTGACTCATAAGACCCAATGTGGTTGAACAGTTGACGAGGGACATAAATCTGCTGCAAATACTGTCTGCTCCATATAAGTGCTCCAGCTACAAAGGACAAAACAGAGAGTTACATTAAGCACAGACACAAAGACGGGAGAGAAACCTTTCAGACAAATACGTCTAGTAAGCTATATGACATGCACTTAGCATTATCCTAACATGTTTGAAAGCAAAGATGTTCTTTGCTGTTCTCCTCAGTTGTGCCTTCATGATTGTTGTTAAGGAGCTCTATGAGACTTAAATGGAAGAGCTTGATACTAATGACAATTTGACAAGCCACCAAAAAATTGGAAAAGTGGCAAAACTATTAAATACTAGTGATGAACAAGGGGTTCATTTAAACTTTTTGCCAACCTCCTGTCTCAGTGTCTGTTTTGATGTATCCATATTTGTTCAAACTGTCTTGGTGTTTTTGCTTTATTGTCATATTGCACAACAACAACAACAACTGTGGCCACCAAGTATTAAGCTTTGTTGGTGCTGGACTATTCTATGCTGCTTAGTTTCATGGTCACACGCTAGCATATATGCAAGGTTAAATATCTAAAGCTGATCTCCTTACAGTGGGAACTTTTATGTAGGCTTACATGAAATCCACACAACATGGGTCCATCACGCAATATAAAAAGCAGATTTAATTGCTCAAAAAAAGGCTCAGTAAAACATCCCCACTCAATTGCATGCCTGGTGGACTACAGTGGAGCCACTCGTTTAATTATCAATCAACCAAAACCACTGTACATGATGAGTTCAATAGATAGTTTTGCTCACATTATATTACCAGAAATAGAAATGAATGTGAAATGTCTGTGAAGTCATCCACATCATGGCATTCCTTTATCGTGAAGAGACATTTATGATGTAAACTGTGTATCAAAAGAGATCAAGTTAAAGGACCACTGCTAAAAAAAATGTCCAAAGTAGTGTTGGATTACGACTGTGTTGAGTCATGAATCGCACACTGTGTAGATCTGCTTCATATAAAACCCAAGCAAAAAAAGTCAAAGATTTCCCCTACAGATCATGTAAGAAAACTCAATGGCTCCTATGTTTAAAAAGACTTTGTAGAAGAGACCAAAGAAATCCTCTCACGCCGCATGAAGAGTAAAGGCAAAAAGGAGTGTGATGCTGTTCCACGAAAACTTAAAATCTAAACATGGAATTTTACTGTAACATTATGAACCCTGTGGCTGCTATATAATCCCTCAAACAGATGCTTTATTTGACACCAGGCGAGAAGGAAAAATAGTGGAAATCTCATGGAACAAGTACAACCACACCGAGGAGAGTTAGCACAGAGGCAGGAATGGCATTTTTAAGAGAAGAGAAAGAGAAATAAAGTTAGTAAATATAAAAGCAGTTTAGCAGCATGAAACAGCTTTCCATAGCAAAGTTTGATGACAGTAACTGGATTTATATTGATATGTGTTATTAAAATAGTATTAACACTCTGATTTGTAAATATACAATGTGGGTTTGCTTCCTTGGATATTTTGCTTGCAGACACTAGTTATGGTGCAGACTATACCATTTTCAAATGGGCAGTTAATGCAGTAACTATGCATCATTCATGCTTCTAAAAACAGAGACTTTCTACAGACTTCTATCACTGCAACACCAGTAACTGACATTAATATTATCAGAGACGTTTTTAATAAAATGACGTGTGTGCCTTAGTATGTAACGTAAATACAGAGCCATAATCCGTGAGTATCGAACGTGAATGTGGATGGACAAATTCAAAAACACATTTGAACGGCTCCTGAACTGTCCACTGGATATTTCATTGACTGTCGTGTGTGGGCCCATGTTATTTTAGTGACTGCTAAAAAGCTTTGCCATTTAAGATGTAAAATCCTGCAAAGAAGCAATATATAATCCCCAAATATTATTATTTTTTTCTTCCTGTGATTGAAGCTCTTCAAATGTAGAGATTGTAATGAATAATTCCAAATTGGTGACATTCTAACAGTTTGAATTTGAGATGACAGAAAACTACAGGAGAGCTACTGACGATCCTTTCAGGCACTTCATGAAACAAACCTAGTTCACGCCTCGTGCTGCTGCAATGAATGTTGTGGAAAAAGTCTCAACAAGTCATCAAGGATTATGAAAAAGGGCCTCGCAGCAAACATGTGAGCTGCTGTGAAAACTCTCGAACAAAAGGGTTGTTGTTTATTGTAATCCGCTTCTTGGCTTTATGTCTATTGTGCACCTCACCTGACACAAAATATATATGACCTCAGTTGTTGTCAAACTGCTGTTGGTTTGTTACTCCAAAGGACCTTTCTGATGTGTGATGACCCCCTTGTGTCTTGTTGCTACGCTCAGTCTTGCGATGGTGAATGATTTTTTTTTTGTTTTAGATTAAACTGTCACTTCTTGAAATTGTGACATCTAGTTTTTTTTCTCCCCTACACATCCATTTCTGTTTCTGTTAATCATTTTGATTCGAATACTTTTCATCATTAGTTACGTGGAATCGGTAGAACTGTTAAATCACATACTGTTGACAAATTCTTTTTTAATCTGGGCAGTGGTCTTTCACTTTGTTACTTTTTGATAGCATACAATGTTCAACTGGAATAATTCACTATTGGCAAAGGTGCTGTTTGGGAATTTAAAGTACAATACATCCTACTGATACACTGAAGCAGAAGATGTAAAATACCTGTCAAGTGCCAATTTGTAAGTGCTGGCCCCCATCCCAGCTGTGACACTAAATAGCGAACTGCTCCAATGCACTGAAGGTCACATTCCAGTGAAGCCAGAACACTGATATCATTTGTAAACACCGGAGCTGACACCCAAACCACTCCTAAACTGGCCCATCTCCAAACCTGGGCAGTGTCTTTATTCTTACACATGAACAATCACAAAGAACATAAATAATAAACTGAAAATATGAATGTCACTACAGATGTATGACGATGCTTGACACAGGCTTTCTCACAGAAAGTGTGATGCATTGACAGATGTGACACAACCTCAGCCATATATTTTAAAGATGGGAACCACTCACACTGTCATCCAGTCCAAAATTTGTCTCTTACACTGACAAGATAATTAACTAAAGCATCAATCACAGTACCTAAATAAAGATGTGACTATTTTAGAACAGCCTTGGCATCTTGTCACAGAAATTCTGTCAAACACAAGTATTTTAAGTAACCTACAGTTGAGCATCCGTTGTAGCTAAACACGTCACTAACCATGGATTATCCACCAGCATCCCTGCCTGAAGAAATCCTGCAGAGACAGCTGAAAGGTCCACATTCCCTTTCATGACAGAGACGGATACTGGGCAGAATGGGGTTATCGCTGTTGTAGCAGCTATGTGATGCACTGGCACCACTACTCCATCCCAGTGTGCAGGATTACTGTCACAGTGAGTAGGTGCGAGATTGCACAGACGTGAGTGTGTGCATCTCTGTGTTTGGACACCTGTCCCGCACGTCTGCAAGTGTCTCATCACGCTGTCGTCATTCTGCACAGAATTCCCCCTTAAGTCTTAATGCTGCAGAATCTGCTTTACCCGCAAAAAAAAAGCCCTAAAATCATATCTGACATCTGCCTCTGAGATTAGACAGGAGATAAAGTAGCAGAGCTGGACACAAATAAATAGGCCATGCAAATACAATCAACTGGCTTACTGCAAATATATCAACATTGCTAAGCATGTTGGCCAACAAACACTAAGAAACTACATGGTTTAGTTTTGGGGTAATTTGGAAATGGTAAATTAATTACACATTTTCTCCACACATCACTGAACAGTTTATTTTAAGCCAAACTAGTGGAATCTCTGAGTGTATTTATACCTACTGGGTGGATTCCCATGAAATTTGGTACATGCATGCACGTCTCCCTCAGGTGAATTTGCAACATGAGCCGTGACTTCAATGTGCAGCAGCTCCTTCATCAAATCAACTTTTAATTTCTCCAGTACTTTGATAAATGTATAAATATGATTGCAACCATATGCTACTCCCACCAGCCTCAGTTCCAGTTCATATTAGGTGCTAATGAGCAAAGGACTGCATGCTTAAACACTAAAATAAGACAGTCAAGATGGGAAACAACACACCTGCTCAACTACAGCACGACAGCATTGATGTATGTTTTGAGTTTTAATGGACAATGAGCATTGTCCCAGTGAGCATGGTAAGATAAGATGATGATTTAAATACAGAATACATGCACAGAGTGATCAGACCGGTTTGAACAGGTTTGGAGTTTAACCACCCAGTAATGACCAAAGCTACAAGATGAAAGTTGTAACATAGGAAATAAAACAGAATCTCGCTGATTTGTAATAAATGCCTGTTAGATGCCAGAAGACAGAGCAGAAACGTCCCACAGACAGATGAATAGTAAGTGGCACGCTCTCTCATCACACGGTTTCCTGTACTTGCTTACTTTACAGAACTCAGCTACACAAACAAACGCAGCTGTGCAAGCATAAAACACAACCCTGGATGTGTACCGGTTTCTGACAATAGTACTGACGCCAACAAAGCCTTTTCTAAATCTGAACACTCATCAGCACCACAGAAAAGAGCAATATGAAAGAAAAAAAAAAAAGAGAGAAACGCACATGAAGCCAAATGCTGATGCTTTTTAATTGAGTTAAATCTGTGTAAAAGAACTGCTCGGGAAAAATAATGATGGTTGCTCATTAGAAGGTAATTTAACAACAGAAACAACCAGATGCTTTGTGGCAAAATGTTCGAGTGGAATCTGGAGTGGGCGCTGAGCGCTGCTGTTTTCATGCCATTTGGACAGTGGTTCTGTTGTCCACTGCGATTCCTGGTTCAAACACACACACACAGTTTGGAGGCAAGAAAACAATTAGCTGCGAGAGGTTACAGGAGCTGGAAACTGTTTCCAACAACCCCATGACTGCACTCCAATTACCTCTTATCAGTGAAAGGATCAGCTCTTAAAACCTTACCGTCAGCAATACGATACATACGAACAGATTACATCTTAGCTATATGCTGACCCCGAAAGAAAACAACATGAAAACAGGACGCCTTGACTAAATTTAACATCCGACAACCCACACAGTTTTGTCCTCACAGTTAATAGCATTTTTCTGTTTGGCATGGAGAGATAATTAAGCAGTTCCCACAGTAGCATCACGGCTGGTAGCAAAAACACCTTCAGCTCCTGAAATCCAACATCAGGTTTGAAATAGTTTGTCTACTTATTATAGATTTTCTATGTGCATGACAGACAGGGATACTACTAAACAGCCACAAAGAATCCATTGTTTCCTTCATGTCAGAATATCATATCATGCAATTTGCATGAAAGTAAAATAAGGTCCATGACATGGCACTAAGCGCAAGTCTGTAAAGCAGAACTGGGTGTCAAATGTTGGTTAATCTTGATAATTAATGGGATTATTACAGAAAGTACATAATTGTGCTAATAAGCAATAATCCAATCTTGTTTATTGGGTCCAACGTGATGGGAAAAAAAAACTGAGGGCAAGTGAAATAGTCGGTGTATCCAAACACAAGCAAACAATCTCAATAACTGTGGGAAGGATGAAACTCTGTGTATGACAGTTTCGGCCTGCTTAAGCGCATTAAACTATTAAACCGGTTAGAATATAAAAAAAGAGACATTAAGCCGATTGGTTGAAGTGTTGTTGTGATGTGGTCAGATGGAGCTGGATGGGATGCAGAAACAATAAAAGACAAAAGGTGGATTGTGACGCTCCATTGAACAGTTGAGTATCGCTTGCCAAGTTGCTGCCTGCCCATCTGTATTGTTTAATTCAATAACGGCCACAAGAAACAGACAACCCTGCCTGCAGCCATCACCGCTCCCTTGTCACCCAAAATCATGGTCCCAGTGAATAATCACATTACTCGTGTTCATCAACAGCACAGCTACAAAACTGCAGAGCCCCCCTCCTCCTTTTTTTTTCTTTTTTTGTTAAACGTGACCTCAAAATGGGATTTAATCTATGTTGCAATACACCAGCCCCCATGTGGGACAAAAGTGGGGCAGCCCTCATATAATCCCCTGTGAGGGCCAATTTTCCAACAACCATAAAGAATCAGCTTTAATGAAGACATGTGAGTACATTTATGGGTCCATTAAGACAGATATTAGTAAATTGGGTGATTTAAGCAGCACCTCACTTATTCTGACTTCCATGTTGGAGCATCTCAGCCAGAAGAGCAACACACAGTGAGAATATGCTCCTCTGGTGTCAGTTATACTGAATAATACAGCTAATAATGTATCACTAGGAGGCCATAAAACGATAAAAGAGTAGCTGAAACAAAAAGAAACTGGAGTAAAGCAGCGTAGCTAACATTTTTCCAAGTTTCCAGTGCAACAAACTGAGCTAAATGAATGATAAGCAGCCACAGTGATATAAACCGCAGGCTGTGCACGCTGCGTTAAATTACTCACCCTGCTCTCAGACGCAGAAAAAAAAAACGCAGAATAGCGGCGTGGTGGGTTGAAACTTAAACTGTATTAAAGGCAGCTGACAGCGGAGTCGACGTTCACAGCGTCTGTCACGGCTGTGGAGGAGAAAAGCCGGGTTTGGTTGCCTTTTGTTTGGTGAGACTCTCTGAGCTCGAGGGAGGCGTGGTGGCAGGTCGACTGGTGCCTTCAGGGGCGCTTCGGAAAACTGCCTCTCCATAGCTTACGTTACATTTTGAGACACATTAAACTGCTTTTTTAAAAATAAATAATTTAAACTAGGGGTGCCGTGTTTTTATTAAAACATATTTCTATTATGTGTTGCAAAAAAGCCATATGCTCCATTACATGCAAGTTGCTTTATGTTCTCTACTGCCATCTATAGTGCCATGATCCATCCAACCATTATCTATACACCGCTTAATCCTCACTAGGTTCGTGGGGGGGCTGGAGTCTATCCCAGCTGACTCAGGGTGAAGGGAGGGGACACCCTGGACGGGTCGCCAGTCTATCGCAAGGCTACACTTAAGGACAGACAACCAAGCACACTCATATTCACACTTACGGACAATTTAGAATCACCTATAAACCTCAAAATATCTTTGGACTGTGCGGAGGAAGCCGGAGAACACACGCTGCACAGGGTGAACATGCAAATTCCATGCGGAAAGATCCCGGGTGTCCTCACCAGGACTCGAACCGGCGACCTTTTGCTGCGAGGCATCAGTGCTAACCACCCAGCAACCTTGCACCCCTTATCTGTGCCAGCTACCCATTAGAGTGATGGACACATAAATGCATCAATAACTATAATCCAGAAATCTAATATTATTGCATTATTATAAATATAATTACATTAGTGTCACATGGCCATTCTGGTGTTGGTACATTAAATACATTAAATGTATTTTGTACTAATACTTCAGTATAATTTTAAAAGCAGGAAGGAGCATTTCTACACTCAAAATGTCTGAGTGCTTCTTCCATCCCTGGTCCATATTTATACACAACTTGAAAAAAAAAGGGATTATCATAGGACACTATGAAATCCATCCATCCATTATCTATCCACCGCTTAATCCTCACTAGGGTTGCGGGGGGCTGGAGTCTATCCCAGCTGACTCAGGGTGAAGGCAGGGGACACCCTGGACAGGACACTAAGACATGTGGTGTAAAAAAACAAAACCAGATCATCAAAACTCAAATTACTCAATCATCAAATCACTATTCTGTTTTTTAAACTGGGGGCAACAGCTATTTTCTAATTATGCACATGTAGTATAGCTGTAAAATAGTTTGTCTTCATTTTCTTTACAAATCAGCCATTACCATTAGTCAAAATGTAATTTTAATTCATTTAGGGTCATTTATTGCATTATTTGACAGGTGCAGTGCTCATTGATCAGCAGAAAAATGACTGTAAATGAGGCAGGCTTTTAAAATTTTCATGTATTGGCCTGCAACTAAAATTATATTAATAATGACTTATCACAATCAACATATATAGATGATACACACAGATTATGACCTAAACACGAGTGCTTATTGCACACCCATTGAACAAACACTCAACCAGTTTGTCATTTAAATGACTGGAGTGCATAGATAGAAATTTCAGGCATGATTTGAACATTTCTAGTTGAATTAAGGCAACATTTGCTCTGTGGTCTATTTTGATGACTGTGGTGAAGAGCGCCACCATGTGGATGGTCTCAGGTATTAATACCTGAGGCACATGGATCCTTGCTCTAATTCTGAAGTCAGGGAACAGTCAGATGTCAACAACCAGTACAAAACATCTCTACCTAATATGTGTTTTCACACATATTCACAGTTCCTCTGCTACTGCGAACTCAATTTCAAGACAGCAAACAACTGCACTGCTGTGACCTAGAATTATTTCTTACAATAATGTCAGTGAGAACCAAAGTTACACAGTAATGTGCACTTTAGTGTGATCCGGTGTCTGTCACATAAATAGCTGTCCAACAGCAGTGACAGGATACAGGGTCAGACAACCTAAACTACAGATGTACGTGCATCTCCTAAGACTTCTTTAGGTTTGTCTTGACAGTCATTAATTATTAGTATTATCATTTGTATCATTTTTGTTTATGTTGTTGTTGATTTGTTTAGTCCAAAAGTGGTAAATTGATAGAATCTTTCCGGGGGAGAGGAACTGTTTCAGACTGTTACCTGTGCGTGTGGGTAGGATGCGTGGTCTGTCTGTTCCGAATCGCTGAAGAAAAATTGCAAGTTGTTTCTCCTTTGGGGCTTTGTCCAAGCCTGAGGCTATCAGGTAAGAGCCAAACTGTTCTTTCCATGTCTTCCAGTGTGCAGACAGGTCGTCTAGCATGGGCACAAGAGGCTGCATTTGAGCTAAATTTGCTGCTGTGAGCATGTTGGAGGACCAGTGCACCACAAGGACCAAAGCTATGATAAGCATTCAAAGTAATGTTACTGAATACACAGAGCAAAGCAACTCTGGATAAGGGATTAGAAATTTGCAAAAAAACATCAAGGTTTACTGTCAAAAAAAATAAAAAAAATAAAAATCAAAACGTCACCAAAACAGATGTAGTATATGCATGTTATAAAGAAAGTACTGACATTCTGTTAGTCTGGGATAAACTACAGTGCATCATGGTAAGAATGCGCCGATCTTCCCGTATTACATGTTTTATAAAGTAAACTAAAGCCACTTCCAGCAAATGCATCATTTGTTTTCAGCTGGTGACTCACCAGTGCTGGTGCTGTAGGTGCGAACAGTGGTGTCAGTTGGAGGTGGAGAGCAGCCTGAGTCTATGGACGCTGTGTCGTCGTCTTGGGAACAGCCAGCCTGGATGGCTCTCAGGTAGCTGTGGCTGCGGGATCGGAAGCATGTTGGCATGGGCAGATCCGGCGGTTCTGAGTTGTCCTGAGAATGGGAACGGGAATCTCTGAATGTAGACTCTGAGCTGCGGTCTTCGTAATGATGACTCCTCTCTAGGTCTCGTAGCTGCAGGGAGGAGAGGAAAAGATTGTGACTGATGTAGCAGTAGTCTAGCAGGAAGAACAGTACTGCCTTGGTGAGTTGATTTTAAACACCGTGGCTGCTCTGGCACTGGAGGTGATAACTAACTGCCCAGCTGAGACTGTCTGCAAAGGGCAGTCTCCACCTGTGATACGCAGTTGATGGGATGCAATAAAATGGCACCAAAAGGTTGCAAAGTGTAATAATGTGAGAAGGTACAATTAGGGCTAAGTACAGAGCTGTGTAACCCAGGAAGCCTGAGTAGTCCTCCGGCTTCCCCTGTGGATGAGCTCTCATTTATCTGTGAAGTACATTTTCATTTTTGACAGTTCTCACATGGCCAGTTGTACCTGTCAACTTATAGAAAATGGAAGAAATGCCAAAGCAAGAGACATCACATTAATACATTGTAGAAGTTTTTTTTTTTTTTTTTTTTTTTTTTACAGCAACTACATGCTCTTACAAAGCCAGCTATCTCTGAGGCATCATTTGGAGAGTAAGAGGCAACATTGCATATGTCTGTTCGCTGAAAGAAATGACTAAGATTCAAAAATATGGTTGCAAAGTAAAGAATTTTGATGATTCACTGGCAATGCAAAAGCTTGTTATATGGGCAATTTTCAATTTTCCCTCTTTCAATCAATTCTGTTTTGGAAAGAACAGCTTGAGCTATACAAATCTAAAATAGAATCCACAATGTTTGGTTGGGGTGCCTGATGTGAGATTTTACTCATTTTATTTATTTTTTTTTATAATGTAGTGACCTGTTAGAGATTGGGTGCAAATCCATAACTAATAGCCTGAAGTGCCTCATTTCATTGAGGAAGATCAGAGCCCCCTGCACGTTGTTCATCAGCTTAGTGACCTTGTCACTGGGAGGCCAATTGCTCTTATGCAAGTAGATAAATTAGACTTCAAACTATCAGTGTCATTCATTTAGCTTTTAGGTTCACAATGCTGATATAAGGTACAGTTGGAAAATAAGGAGTCTTAGGTGACGGGAAGCTCATTTGATTGCAGTCATTCGAGCTGTGTCTGTGAAAATGCAAATTATACTAGGAAAACGAACATAGCCCAAGGCAGACAAAGGGGGATGTGAAAATGGCCGGTGATTTGAAAGTAGAGGGTTTGCTAGGAGCTATGTGTTGTAAAATATGAGTAAGTGTAAATGTAGTCATAACTCGTCAGAAAAAAATTCTGCTTAGCTAATGAGAAAGAAAGAGATACAGACAGAAATAGGAAATCAGTTTGCCTTCCCTGTCTGTCCTCCAGGCAATCACTGACCTGTCCCATGACATTACGCCTGCCCAAAGTGCTGCACACCTGGCTGAAGTCATCATCATCCCACGGTGGCAAAGATGAGCCGGGACCCCCAATGCAGTCCAGGTTGTCCAGGCTGCGATTATTGGAGAGCTCTCTGAGAGATGGAAGACAGCTGGGACAGGGAGTAAGATAAATGTAAAGTTAGATAAATGTGACGTGTTAAAGGCTATGAAATCTAAAGAGGAAAACTAATGAATAGTGATGAAAAAAACAGTTAATGTTAAAACAACGTGACGGAGAGGAAGAAGTGAAACATGGATTGGGAGAAAACATAAGTTATCAGCAAAAACCAGGGATTGAAAGAGAGATAAAAGGAGGACAAGTGTGTTATTCAAGTCATCCCTTTCATTTCCACTTTCATTTATGAGTCATCATGAGTCCAAATCTCTTCTCTATTCCAATTTTATCTAATTTTAGCATCAGTCATTATAGCATCTGAGCATGCAAAGCCAGTGATGTCAGGCGAGCCATGTACACAGCTTTCTGCGCCATCATGGTGCCACAACCAAAGAACAGGTTTAGGTCTAATCAGCTGAAGAAGATCAGTCTGAACATGTTTTGCACATTCTTTGTTGGCACACAGTGATAGTAACATGACAGTAAAGTGTCATGTCATGCTCTATGGACAAAGATGTGCCCTCATTCCTTCATTTGAATAATGTCGCACTCAGCTCCTTTTCACCTAAAAGCACTGGGCAGATGGTATTAACAAGCTTAAGGGAGGTTAGCAGTTGTTGGCAGCAGGACATGAATTTAGCATTTGGTGTTTCCACTTTACAGATATCTGAGGGGGGCAGTGCAAAGTCATTGATGACAGATCATTCAATCGGAAATGTTTTGCACCGCACCCCTGAGAAGTGGCTTACAGACCTATCACTAACCTGCTCATTGACCTGCCCAGCTGGTGCAGAGAGGACACACTGTGGAGTGGAGACCACAGGGCATCCAGCTCCCCCTGCAACAAGGTGAAATCCAGGGTTCTGCTGCTCACGCCAATCAGGTAGGCGCAGACCGGAAGAGAGTAGGGTTGGATGATCAGGGATTGGCAGGAGTTATTAGCATGGGTCATTCAAGCAGGCTTTAGGGAAGAATAAATCCTACATTTCTTAAGATAGGATTTTAAAATTGCTTAGTTTTGCGAAAGATAGAGCTGTGTTCGGCAGTAAGGCCAGTATCTATGCTTCTCCAGATGATGCTATTTTATTTTGCCTTTTTTACATTAACACTCATCTGTGATTGATCCAACCAGAAAATTCACTGATCAGCCAGAACATCAAAACCAGTGACTGGTGAAATGAATAACACCGTTCATTATGTTGAAATGCAATATTTTTCTGGGAGACCTTGGGTCCTAGCATTCATGTGGATGTTACTTTGACAAATACTCCCAACCTAAACATTGTTTCAGACCAAGCATTGTTTCCTGCATGACACCAGCACTTCCAGATGTCAGCGACCTCCTCGAGCAGAACAATGCAACAACTGTTCAGGAATAGCTCGAGGAAAACAACCAAGAGTCCAAGGAGTCCAGATCCTAATCTGATTGAGGATGGAGAAGAACAGGTCTGCTCCATGGAGGCCCCACCCCACAACCCACAGGACCAAAAGGATCCGCTGTCAACGTCCCAGTGCCAGGACACCCTCACAGGTCCTGTGTTCACGCTCCAATGGATCAGAGCAGGTATGGTGGCACAAGGGTGGGGGACCTACACAATATTAGGCAGGTGGTACTAATGTTGAGGTGTATACCCTTTGTTTATGCGTATTTATGGCACTGACACTTTGGAACTGCAAACCTCAAAACCTGATGACAATTTTAATACAAGAGAAAAAGCTGCTCTATACAAGCCATCATCACATTCTACAAGTGATCACATCTATTTTTTTCTCTGGCTGTGGTTTATGCAAACATCCCTCACATACATAAATGATAGTGTAGTTTCATTTACAGATGATGACTGTACAACATTTAGATGTCTGGATGTAATGTTCCTTGACAAACATCTAAAAAAACATCCAAAATACAGTAGAATGTATCAAAGCTTGACAATAGACAACATTTTGAATAATACAATTTAGTACATTACCATAGATAAATTATGCAGACAGCCATTTCAAATAGAAACTTCTTTCAGACAGCAGATGTAGCTGCTGTTGCCACTTTAGAGCACTCCTTCTGAAAAGCTCTGAAATCTGATTAAACATTAAGAACATGACAGGTCTGATTTAAATTTGCTTAACATTGCCTTGGATACATTGAAGGAAGGCAAATATATTTTCTGCCATTTTATGAAAAGGCACAGTCCACCAGCAATGTCTCACTGTGCCCAGATTACATATTGTGCAATAACTCTGCTTCAGAAAGCATGTAATTTAAAGACAACTGAGGCGCAATTCCAGTCAGTCAGAGTGATGTGGCTGATTCATGGCGATTTACTGGTTGAGTGTGAACAAAATTCTTTGTCATATTGTGTAAACTGCACTATTGTGTGCATTATCGTAGCTAGACTAATGCTTTGTGTGGCCAAGAGTCAGTAGGTAAATCACAGCGGAGGTACGGCAGTAAGGCTGGCATGTGGATGACAACAGGGAGTCTGACACCACTTCTATGCGTGAGTAAGCGCAGCGTGGACTGTGTGCGCCTGCACTTTCCTACACACTGGCATGTTGAGGTTGGGCATGGTGGTTTCCTTCCTGTATGCACAGAAATGGGCGGCTTATTTACTTTCTTTTGATTGTTAAGAGGTTTTGCCAATCAGTATTTATAACTGTATGTTTGTATGAGTGTCTGGGCGTTCTCCCAAAATCAACACTTTTTTTTTTTTTAGCCACACATTTTAAAGGACTAATCAGCAATTTTTCATCTCTATATATATACAAATAGAAGCTGTAACCAAGGCTTTTGTAGATAAAAAGTTTGGATATTTCCCAGCTCATAATGACTAGAATTAAAACCCTGTTTTATAGTCGGTCTTGTGAACATTACAGATATACAATTACAATTAACTTGACTGATTTCTTGATGGTATACTTTATTAAAGACCTATCAATCATTTTAGGACTTAAAGGAACATTCTAATATTTTGACTGTAGGGTTTAGTTTTTTATATCATGTATTGGCCTGATTAAGTTGTGTCCCTTACTGTAGATGCTAATGTGTAGTGCATATTAAAGTGCTGTTCTGTGTCCAAGTTTGTTCTCTTACTTGCGTGGGGGTAGCTGGTCGCTCAGAGACTGCTGGGTAGCCCTGAGGTAGCTCTGGCGGCGAGCAGCAGATTTTGGTGAGGGTTTGGGGCTTCCCTCAGAGTCGTCGCTGTCTTCCATGTCTCCCATAGCCTTTACATAGCTACCACTCCTCATCCGCCGACATGGGATTTCAATGGCACCCCCGCTACGGCCTAATGTGCTGCTCCAATCACCCTACAGGCACCATTAAGTAGATAAGTTAGTGTTTTAACAATCCTCTAATACTTTTGGTGCACTGGATGGTACGGTTATACATGCATAAAAATACAGAAAACCCAACTCACCCTTCTTCCAACCTGCAGATAGTTGCAGGTTAGTTCCTGTTGGCAGGACTTTGACTTGAGCATAGACCGGTCCAGAGTAGCTGAGCCCTTCTGGATCACCTGTCTTGGTTGTCCCATGGTCAATGTGGACCAAGACCCTCCTTTCATATACTCATTATCATTCATCAACAAACTTGCGGGTCCACCTAGTCCACCACCAACTCCACCACCAGGTCCAGAAAGTGTCTGATATTTCATGTCATTGCTGCTTTTAGAGGAACTAATGGTGTTGTAGCCACTGTGGATGTATCTGCTCTGCCCCCCCTGGCTGTCATGGCCTGTTGGACGTCCCAGAGTCATCATGGCCATGGTGTTATGGTAGCTGCTCAAATCGCTGCTGTCCAAATCATCTGAGCTCCAGTATCCTGACATGTTGGAACGTGGCCGTCGCTTGGCAGTCGCCTCTGATTTTGTACCCCGATCCTTACTTTTGGATCTACGATTCTGCTTTCCTCCGTCCTCAGTGCTAGATGACCCTCCACCGCTGCCAGTAGAACGTCCATTGACATTTCCTTTCATGTTGTGGCTTTCCAGTGACTGGGACTTTGCAAAGAGCTTTTGCACTGAGTGCAGCATGTAACGAATACGTCCAGGACTGTCTGTACGCTGCTTGGCAGCTGCAACAGCAGACGTTCTATGAAACTGCAATGTGCTGAATCCATCACGGCCTCCAGGTAACTGTTTCTCAAAATCCAGCAAACTGGGTGGTGCCTGATTCTTGGTCATATGATGTGATATAGTTGCTGAGCCGCTTGTTATCATAGGCGTTCGTGCACTCAGCCCTGCCATGCCCATACCTGTTCCCATGCCCATGGACATGGAAGTCCCCAAGGTCCCTGTACTTATGCCCCCAATACTGTCCCCAGGAGGAGAGAAGTCAGACTGGTCATAGGAGTTGTAGTGAATCCGGGGAAAGGTGCTGCTGTTGGACAGCTGGTTGTTGAGGGGCAGCATGCAATCTGGTGGAAGGGAACCTGGAGCGGCTGAGGGGTAAAGGTGGGGGTCCATGGTGCCATAGTGGTCCATTGTCGGGCTCAGCAGGTAAGGGCTGCGTGGTAGCGTGCTGGTCTTCTGAGGGTAGAGGGCCTCTGAATGGCCTGTGGAAGGGTCACAGGAATCAGACAGATGTCTGTTACGGTTGGTCCCCAAGCCTTTCATGATGGCGAGGAGGTCCAACCCTCTAGAAGACCTCCAGGCCAAGTAGAGATGACAGACGACCCTGACGGTGATTCCTAGGAAATAGAGACAAACAGAAAAGAAAAACAAAACACAATAGAGAGGGAAAGAAGGGGTTTAGAATTGGTTAATATAGTACTGTAAAAAACATACAAACAAAAACATTCAAACCATGCCTATCAGCTTAGCCACACAAACACAGCCAAACCAGACTACAAACAGAGTAGCTGTTAGGCAAATACTGTGCAGCGAATGAGCCAGCTTTCCTCTGCCTCCCACAGTGAACATCTGTGTTAAAATGTTGGAAATGGATGGAAAACAACGTGTGGAACAAAGGCAGGCTGTAGCTAGCGGGTCGGGGCATACATTATGGGTAAGAGAACAATTGCTGACAGTCATTGGTAATTCCAAACACCTCCGTATTTATGTGGAGCTTTGCAGCAGTCGGTAAACAAATATCTCCTTTTTTCTGTCTAATCACATTCAGAAAAAAGGTCAGAGAACATTAATCATTGCACAAACATTTCCATTCATGAGCACCAACAAACATATTAGAAGTCAGGAGACTCAATGATGTGGCATTTCCTATAAAACAAACAAACTAAAGATTACAGATTTAAGAAAGCTTAAAAATTAGAGCTGAGGGCTCTACCTGCGGCCTTGGCTTGACTCGCTGCATATCCTACAGGTAAGTTGTAGTAGAGAACAGCCAAATATCTGGGAGAGCCCTTTCTTTCAGCCTGTAGCATTCTCTCTTATACTATCCGCCTCGTGTTCTCTCTTCCTCCTCTGTTCCTTCTCTCTCCTCTTCCCACCTCCAGTGGGTATCCCTGGCACTAGTGACCAAGCTCCTGTCCTGTCTTTGCGTGGAGAGCCAAGGATGGCAGGCAGACTGTCATAGTGAAACCAGTAAAGAGGATTTGACCAGTGGGTGGTGGGTGGCAGGAGTTGGCAGTTACACCTCCTTGTCTTCCTAGTCAAGCTGTGCCAATGCCCTGCCTGGCAAGGCAGCAAGGACGGTGCTTCTTGTCATGGAACATGAGAGATGATAATAGGGGGATATCATGTAAAGGTAAAACAATGTGATACCGGCTTTCGGTGTTTATGAAAGGACAGGTATACTCATATGTGGCTCCTTGTCATGTACAGATATATAATAAATACAGCAAAATCTCTTTTTATTCAGAAAATGAAGGAGCAGCCATTTAAACTACACAAGCTTTTTTTTTTTTTTTTTTTTTTTACCAATGAAGGGAAACATTTATCTTTTAAGGAAAAATGAGGTTTTTCTCTCAAAATTTTGTGGTTTGTGAAGAATATATGAATAAATTAAGCATAGTGAGTATCTACAATATTTGTGATTTCATTTATCACTCCTGCTGGACTACAGGAGCTCTGCTCTTAAAGGTAGATACCATTATCAGCAGTCTATTCAAAACTACAGAATGCATGCTGCTTCCTTATCGCTGTTGGTGAAGTTAAGTGAATTCAGCTGTATGGGTAATTGTACTATTTTAGAAGTCTAGGTTATCTGAAATCCCACAAATGAATGTTTTCTTTCCTGCAGCTAGTTTTTTTCTTCAACGCTTGTCTTAGCTATCGCAAACATTTCCAGCACCGATCATTCTTTGAATATTTCGGTAGACCCTTTATATACTTCTATGAAGTTCATGCAGCATATGAGAGTTAGAATGGGAAAAAAAGAAAAGAATGCATATCTTATTATTAGAGCCTCTGCAGTGTTTCAGCTGACGTGAAAAAAACTACTAAAGTTGTTAAAAACTCATTCTCATCTTCAGCCCAGTGTTTGTCCAGGGAGAGTCAGCTGGACATGCCGAAAGCAATTTATTGAAAGTTCGTGCAGCTGCTTTGCCAACCTGCGGACTGCAGTGTGCTATGGGGTTTCTTAGGGTTATGGGGAGGGCTAGATAATAACCATCACTACAACACTCTAATTGCAAAAATGCCAAAAAAATAAGCTACAAAACAACAGAGACTATTCCTACTTTACATGCAGTGAGTGAAGGGGACATCATTATTTTTTCTCACTTATACTTTCCCTGTTGAGGGAGTTTATTAGAACTGTCATCCTGGCAGTCGAAGCCTTTTTAGACTCTTTCAGACCACTATGCCTCGGTTGTGGAAAAGGACTTTTGCTATAAATCGCTATGCTCATCTTTCGATAGTAACAAACCTGAGGAAAATTTGATAATTGCACATTTCAGAGTACTGCTAGATGGACCACAAATGATGATACAGCAGGTAATTTAAAAATTACACTTCATTCGCAGGTCAATTTGAACTGATTGTAATTCATTGTTTGAGGCAAAGCGCTAAAACATTTTGTGTGTTACTTTACCTTTACATAAAGTGTAGACACACACACACACACACACACACACATTACTTTTATACACTTCTCGCAATTAGCTACTTGCAAAAAAAATCTCCATATAAATTATAAGCTGGCTTTCATTTTGCCATTATTAGCATGCTGCAGGCACAGACTCATTTAGTGTCATTAACAGAGCCTCTCTGAGTGCCATCTCTGCTGATAGGGTCAAATCCTCTAAATCCTTTTACACCACATTAGCTAACTGCCTCATATCCTGTCGTGACACGCCACTCAGCTAAGCTTAGCATACCATCCTCAATGTGTCAACCAGTACGGCTCAAAATGACAGTGATAGCTGCGTTGCTAATAGATGCAGGGTTGTCTGACTGGAAGAGGTCACTGCCAGTCAAAAGCCTTGAATAGATAAACAGATAATTGTACCGCAAAAAACAAAAGTAGGTACGACACAAATGAGAAATGAGTGACCTTTCAGTTGTCCCAAATATGAACTATGCGTTTGTGTGACTGTTAAGAATCTCAAGCCCTTCAGATAAGGATTGGTGGTGGAATTCACACTGTGAATTTGTCTATCAAATTGGCACCCCCCGTGTGATGTAAGTGCATGATCATTCCAATGCATCTGTATTTAATAAGGCACTAATGGAGAGTTAATTAAGAGGCCTTGCCGATTCATAAGTCTACAAGTTTGCGACAGTCTTCAGATGTGGCCCCAAAATACACTCATTTCTTTCTGAAGGTGGATTTCTAAACATCCACACTAACCTGGGAGGAAAGCCCGGGGATATGATGAAGTGTGTCTTTAATTAACGATTAAAGATTTGGACTACGTCTTTGAAGCACTCGTGCAGCACGCTGTGTGATTAATCTAAGCAATTAACAATAAAATAAAAAAATAATACATTATTTCAGGGTACTTCTACAATATGTCTTACATGGTTGTTTTCAAAACTGTCTAAATACTGAATGATATTTAAGATTTAACTGAAATGTTCAAAAAGGGGGGCTCAGAAACAAGTTCATCATTATACAGTCATATAAAGTTCATTTTGTATTATTAGAAAGGTAAAAAGATTCAGTGAGTCCAGCAGACAGACAGACAGACAGACAGACAGCAGGTCTTTTGTTATGTTAGGGTTCTATCACTGTCCTCACACTGTAAATGTTGGGTAATACAGAGGCGTCACTTCACCACGATGACTCAAAATGCCTGTGAGTCGTTGCATGTTAATACGATTTTCATGAAGCAAAATCTCGCCTGGCAGCTGATATACTGTACATGCATCATGTATGAACACTGATGCGAGTACTTACGGTACAAGCCAGCAGCAGCGTTACTGTAATCTATGATAATGTAGGCAAAGAGGCATTTTGACCCTCAGACATGTGAAATTAAAGAATTTAGGTCAAGCTCCTACTAGGTGAGTGTGTGCATCTCATTTTGCATGTGGACTATTTGTGCGCCCACAAATGCACCACAACGTTAACGTGTCTGTGTTTGTGTGTGTTTCGACACCCTGCTCGGAGCGTCTGGTGGCAGCATCTCCCTGCCTTGTGCACTGGGGAGCTGCCATCTGCTCCTCCAGTGGGAAAAAAGGGGTGTTTGGCTTTGTGTCCAAACTCATGACCTTACTCAATCTCTCAGCCACCAAAACGCCACAGCTACATGCAGTTCACACTGTTGACCAGAAGAGGACGACATACTCAACACCAGCTGGACTCTGTGGCGCTCTGTGACTTTGTACTTTTCATTCAGCATGTAGGAGTAGTTATGACAGCAATTTACTTGGTGAAGTCAGAGTTAAGTGAATCATTTGTCAGTCAGAATGTGAAAGATGCAATGAGAAGGTCGGTGTGGATGTCGAACAATAATTCAAGGCAACAAGTCCCACATTCATTACTCAGTATCTTTTTTTGATGACCTCATATCAGAAAGTATTTCAGCTTAAATTTTTTGCAGTGGTTCAGGATGTATTCACACACTTCCCCTAAATAGGGACAACCACCAATTCATTAATGTAAAAATATGTGTAATGTAGGTTGTAAAGATACTCATTTGCATATTTACGTTTCACATTTTAAATAATCCTGATGTACATGTATGTAAATAAAGATCAATGAAACCTACTTAAAGTATTAAAAGTAAAATTACTTAAGCTGCGAAAATGACCCAGCATTACATTTGTCAAAATACTGACGCATCAGTGTGTAAGCAGCTTTTTACTGCTGTAGCTAGTAAAGGTGAGGCTAATTTTAACACTTTACAGACACAGTTTGGTATTAAAACCAGGAGTTCCAAACCCTTGGAGATGGGACCCCTCCTGAGAAAAGTCAGGGTGATCCTTAAGGTGAAAAATGAAAAAGGAAAGAATAAAAACATAGCCCAGCGCCACAGATTTTTAGCGTTTTTAATCTTTGTTTGCGAAATATTGGATATTGGATTTTAAATGTCTTTTTTGGTAGACAGCTAATAACTCAGACATCTGAAACGTAACAATTAAAACTAGGCAATGATTCTCATTTTACAAAAGTCAAAAAGGTTGGAAACCCGGTGACCCAGTAGTGAGAGGGGCTCTATAGTGGTCAGGACACATCCTACATATCTGCAAATGTCGTCTACAGCCAGTCTC